TTGCGGGGGCGGGGGGGGAACTCCGATGTCTGAGGTTTTTCGGGCTACCACGGCGGAGCCTGGTGGAAGGCGGCCGAGGGACAAGAAACCCCCTTAAAGGAGGTCAGCGCTAGGGTACGGAAGGTCCTCTCTGCAGCGCCGTGGATCATGGACCCCGGCGCTGCCCGAGAACTTCAACCTTTACAGGATCGCCGCTCTCGGCCCCCAGAAAGCATTCGATGCCGCAACCTTTTTCGTATGGAAATCACGCCGTGGTTCTTCTGTGTCCCTAGGCCCGAACCAGGCCTTCAGGAGATGCTTAACCTTGAGCGCTCGCGACGGCGGCGTCGCCGGCGCGTCGAGACGCCACGAACCTACCAAACCTATGGGTTCCAGACTCGGCCACACGTTGGGCTTCAAGCCGCTTGCGGTCCAGAACCCAGGCGCGGGTTGAAAAGCGTGGGCGGCGGGCTGGGAGGCGGACAGGGAAGAACCAGCGAGATGTACCAGAGTAAACCCAGGATGCATCAACGGTAAGCCCTCCAGTCCGAAGTCCCGTCCTCATACAATCGGAACCCGGTCACAAGAACGCGGGCTAAGAACATGAGGCCCTTTCGCCAAACAACCAAGGCCCCTCGGATACATCCAAGGCGAGGAGCATCCAAGGTCGAGGGCCCAAGCACGAAGAATGGGAAGGAACCCAAGCAAAACGCCATGTTCCTCACGCTCGCGCCAACAGCAAGTCCCTACACGTGTTTCCTCTTCACGGCTGGGAGTGCCCTCGTGAATACTGAATATCGCCAGACTAGCGACATACCCTGACGTACGCGAGTTTCCCTTGCTCTGATATCTTAACCCCGGGAGCCCCGTCGCATGGATTTTGTGAATGGATGCGTCGTTCACCATGTCGTCCGACATGTCTGCAATGTTCCACCCGATAGAAAAAAAAAGGTGGGGATACGCGCGCGCAAAGGAGGTGCGCGCACCCTTTTTCCGCCAAGACACCAGCTGCGTCATATCCACACAGTTGTCTTGAGCCACTTGCGCGCAGCGGCACGCAAGCATCGGTTCTGAAGAGAGGCGGAGGGAGCGAAGGCAACGACTCCTCTCGCGGCGGCCCCAGAGCAAATTCACGCCGCGCGAGAACCTGCGGAGCACCTCGTCAAGGGACGTCACCTCCAAACAAAGCTTCAACAGAGCTACAGCTCCGCCCGCACTACGCTGTTGCTTCTGGGGGGAGGTGGGCGTGGCCACGGGCCGCACCGCGCTGCCCGCTGCGCAGCGGCTGGTGGGCCCCCGTTTCGAAGGGTCGCACGGGGCCCCGCCGCCGCTCGCGCCTGCGCCAACCCTGCCGCGATTTGCATCGGCAGCCTAGAGGAAGGCGCAAAGGATCCCTCTCACTGACCCATCGCCGCACAGCGTCGAGGAAGCACGGCCCAAGGGCCATCATCAGCACCCAACCATCGTTCAAATTCGACTGAGCGCCTGGGCCACAATGGTCACTGACGTCGCGCGGAGGATGCACTTACGCGTTAGCGCCCGGGAGCTCACGCGCGCCATGCTCGCCGCCTTCGGCAGTGCCGAAGAGACCCGTGCCAGGGGCACCGTGACCAGTCAGCCCAGCCTCAACATCATCAGAACCGACCTCGACGACTTCGGAGACGGCATCCTTGATCCTAGAATCATAAGCCAATGGTAATCCCGCCCCATATGCAATGACATACGCTCCAGGAGGGGTCCTCATGCTGTCTTCCCACGACAAAGCCACACATTCCACAACAACGATGTCCACCTGTGGTCTGGCGCGGTTTGTTTGTTTGGTTTCCCAGGCATTGGTCGGGAGATGGTGGGTACTGACGATCCTTGATATGGTCGCCGCGGGGACTCCACCCCTCCACTGGAAGCATCCTTGAGTCCTTGGTTCTTTTCCCGGGGGGAACGAGCATGCCAACTGGTTCCGCGCGTTTGTTTCGGGTTCGTCTGGCGAGATCGACCAGCGACTCGTCGAACCTCGCACTGTCACAATAGTAAGTATGATCACTCGTGTTGCTGTTCCTGCGGTGGTCACTACGACTAGCAGTTGCATCACATTCCTTCTCCATCAAACTTCTGAGGGTTGCATGAGTTTCGCCAGATCAGCGACATACCCTGACGAACGAGCGCCTCCGTTGACCTGATTACCTGGGAACCCCTTCACATGGATTGTAACTGGATGAAGTCTTAATGATGTCGCCCTGCCTACCTGCAGCGTTCCCTTGGCTATAAGTGAGTGGACAGCGATACGCGAGGCACGCGCACCCGTTTCCCGCTAAGACACCAGTTGCGTCCTATGATCACAAATGTCGTGAGCCAAAGGCGCGCAACAGCATGCAAGCATAGGCTTTAAAGAGAGGCGGAACGGAGCGACGGTAACGACGAAGCAAGCGCTCAGCTGTCATGGCACTCTGGCGAGGAACCCCCTCATCGAATATGACAGCCGCCCCTCCGTTTCCTCCGCGTAGCACTTGTACAGGACTTAGCCTCGGCTCACGGATATCATGATCATAACTCGAGATCCCCATGCTTCAAAAGAGCCGCCCTCCATCAATGTAAAAGCTGCACGTGCTCCAATGTCGCGTCGTGGAAACGGAGGAGGTCCCCAGAAAGAGGGAGAGAGAGAGAGAGAGAACGCACTGTGTTGCAAAAGCAATTTCCTTCCAGCCGTGTAACTGCTGTAAACGGACCAAGATAGTATTTGCAGCACGAACGCGAGAGCTGAGCCGCACTGTGATAACTAAAACCAATCCTCCGTGCATGAAGCATTTGAATCAACGCACCGCAAAAGCGACAACTACGCCTTGAAAACAATCCCGACCAACCTCCATATGTGTAAGTACCAGAAACGATTACGAGGAATACGCGCTGCAATAGATCGAAAGCCACTCCGTACTGGAATGTCATGTGTGAGGACGTCTCAGGCGGAACGCCCAGACTGCTCTACCAGCACGTCTGGTAGGGACGAGGAAAAGGAATGGGAGATGGGAAAGCAAAATTGAGGTGGAGGAGGTAGGGGGGGAGTGAAGGAGGAAGGAGGGGTGAGGAGCTTTGAAAGGGCGAGGGGCGAACGGCGGGAACGAAGGTGGGAGAGAGAGAGAGGGATACATTGTTATCAACCCTGTTGTCAACCCTGTCCTGCTTCTCCCACTCGTCCCACTCCTCCTTGGACCACTCCTCGTCGCCCTCGCCGCCGCCGTAGACCTCCTCCCACTCGTTCCTGGCGTCGAACTTGGTGGTCTTGCTGAGCTTCGTGTTCGCCTTGTTGGCTTTGCCATCTGTCGCGGCCCCTTTCGCCGACTTCTTCCCCTTGACCACCTCCGCGAGCATCTTTTCGAAGCCGTCCAGCTCCTTGAAGGAGAGGTCGTCCGCGAGCTGCTTCAGGAGGTCCCGGACAAACGAGACCGAGCCGCCCTTGGCCGCAGCCGCGCCCTTGCCGATCTTCTTTACGCAGTCGTCGCTCAGCCTCTCCACGTCTGCCTGCACGGTGAGGGCGACATGGTCGAAGGCGTCGATCTCCACGATCTTGGCCCTCGCGGCCTTCTTGTCCTCCGCCTTCTTGCGCGGACCACGATCCCAGGGGGGGGGGCCGGGCAGCTGCGACGGAGACGAGCGGACTGCGCAGGGGCGGCCACACCCCAAACTGGCCCCTGAGGTGCCCAGGAGAGCCCAGAATCGAATCGATAAGCCGGAGCGGCAATCGAAGTGAATCGGGTCGGCGAAAATCGGCAGCCGAGTCGGAAAAAGGTCGAATCGGCGGCGATCGGCAGGTCAGCAGGTTTCGATGGGGCCATCGGAGCTCAAGTCGGAATCCGACATCGCATCGGAATAGGAACCAGCGGCCATCGAACTCGAACCGAATCGAATCGAACCGGCGGCATCGTAATGAGCCGTGGATGCCACCCCGTTTTGGACACCCGAAATGGGTACCGAAAGAATGGGCAACATGCCCAACAACAAATGTTGTCCCGAACCAACAGCGGCCGCTGTTGGGCAGGCGGCCTTCTGTCTCGAATGGACACAGGCCGCGGCGGCGCGGACAGCGAGTCCTGTTCAAAATGAACAGGAACTGCTGTTGGGCATTGTACCCATTCTTTCAGTACCCATTTCGGGCGTCCAGACCCAAGCCGCTCCCATCGACGAGCCGCCGGCAAAACACCGGAGCTGAGCGCCGGGCTCCGCCAGCGGAGCGCTGCAGGGGGGGGGGAGGCGAGATCCCCCCGATGCCCCCCGGGGCAGCACGAGAGGGCCCCTTGCGCCCTGGGAGTGCTGCGAGGGGGTACTCCAGACTTCGTGATAAAAGGGAGGGGGTCTGGACCCTCCAAGACAAGCCATGTCAGACCCCCCCGTGGGAGAACCCTCCAAAACATCGTCCCCAGACCCCCCAGGCCCTCCAAGATAGCCTGGGAGAGACCCCCCCCCCCGAAATGAGACCCCCCTCCCTTTAGTACGAAATCTGGAGTATGCCCCGACGCACCCCGCTGCCCGTCGCAGGGGAAATAAGGCCAATCGCAACCACTTCGGGCCGATCCCAACCACCTGGGGCGGGTTCCAACCACCGAACACAGGCCGAGCCCAACGTGAAGGACTCCTAGAAGCAATTCAAAAGGAAGAACACCGGATTACAACCGGATTACAACCTCTGCAGAGACTCTGCAGAGCCTCTGAAGCGCTTCGCCAGCAACTCCGAAGCTCTTCACCAGAACCTCCGAAGCGCTTCACCAGCGCCTCCGAAGCGCTTCACCAGCGCCTCTGAAGCGCTACACATGAGCTTCTGGAGGGCTTGTGAAGCGCTTCTCATGAGCTTCTGGACAGCTTCTGGAAGGCTTCTGAAGCGATTTTCAAGAGCTCCTGGGGAGCTTCTGGAGGACTTCTGGAGAGCTTCTGGAGGAAGTACGAAGCGCTTCTCATGAACTTATGGAAAGTTTCTGGAGGGCTTCTGTAACAGTAAAAGTAAAGCAGTAGTAGTAGTAACAATCTTCATAACAGCAATAGTAGTAGTCGTAGTCGCTAGTAGAAGAAGTAGTAGTAGTAGTAGTAGTAGTCGTAGTAGTAGTAGTAGTAGTAGTAGTAGTAGTAGTAGTAGTAGTAGTAGTAGTAGTAGTAGTAGTAGTAGTAGTAGTAGTAGTAGTAGTAGTAGTAGTAGTAGTAGTAGTAGTAGTAGTAGTAGTAGTAGTAGTAGTAGTAGTTGTAGTTGTAGTTGTAGTAGTTGTAGTAGTAGCCGTAGTAGTAGTAGTGGTAGTAGTAGTAGTAGTAGTAGTAGTGGATGTAGTAGATGTAGTAGTAGTAGTAGTAGTAGTAGTAGTAGTACGCCTACTACTACTGCTACTACTACTACTAGTAGTCGTCGTCGTCGTCGTCGTCGTCGTGGTCGTAGTCGTAGTAGTAGTAGTGGTAGTAGTAGTAGTAGAAAATAACTGTTGGAAAGAAGTCGTAGTAGCAGTAGTAGTAGTAGTAGTAACTGCAGTAATGATAGTGGTAGTAGAAGTAGTAGCAGTAGTAGTAGTAGTAGTAGTAGTCGTAGTAATAGTAGTAGTAGTGGTAGTAGTAGTAGTAGTCGTGGTAAAAGTAGTAGTAATAGTAAGTGTAGTAGTAGAATTAGTTGCACGAGTAGAAGTCGCAGTCGTAGCAGAAGGAAGAATATTACATGTAGTGATCGGAGCCGGACTAAACATTGTCGTCGTCGTACCAGTAATACGAGTAGTAGTAGTAGTAGTAGTAGAAGTAGTAGTAGTAGTAGTAGTAGCAGTGGTGGTGGTAGCAGTAGTAGAAGCAGTAATAATAAGAGTAGTAGTAGTAGTGGTAGCAGTAGCAGTAGTAGTAGTAGTAGTAGTAGTAGTAGTAGTGAAGGTACTAGTAGTAAACGTATTCGTAGTATCTGTGGGAGTGGTAGTAATACTAAGAGTAGGAGTAGCAGTAGTAGTTATAGTAGTAGTACTAGTAATGGTAGTAGTGTTAGTAGATGTAGTAGTAATAGTAGTAGTAGTAGTCGTAGTAGTAGCAATAGTAATCGTACTCGTAGTAGCTGCGGTAGTAGCAGTAGTAATAACAGTATAACAGTAAAAGTAAAAGCTGTAATACTAGTAGTAGTAGCAGTAGTAGTAGTAGTAGTAGTGGGAGTAGTAGTAGTAGTAGCAGCAGTCGTAGTAGTAATAATAAGAGTAGTAGCGCTTGTAGTAGTAATAATAGCCGTACTTGTGCGACTGGCAGAACTGACAAGTGTGGGGGTAGGCGTAATAGTACGAATAGTGGATGTAGTAGTAGCATTAGTAGTAGTAGTAGTAGTAGTAGTAGTGGTAGTAGTAGTAGTAGCAGTGGTGGTGGTACTAGTGGTAGTAGTAGTCGTAGTAGTAGTAGTAGTAGTAGTAGTAGTAGTTGCAGAAGTGGTATTGGTGGTGGTGGTGGTAGCGGTCGTGGCCGTGGCGGTAGTAATAAGACTGGTTGTGCTAGAATTAGTGGTTTGGTTCTTGTTATGAGAGCTCGTATTGTCCCCCGTAGTGCTTGGTCATACCCGTCGTCGTAGTTTCAATCGTAGTAGTGAGACTAGCAAATTTCGTAGCCGCTATACTCGTAGCAGTACTCGTACTGTTAGTATTAGACAGAATAGAAGCAGTAGTAGCCAGAAGAATAACAGTAGTGGCAGCAGTAGAGATAACAGTACAATCAGTAAGGACAGTAGTAGCAGTGGTATCAGTAGTAACAGTGATAGCAGTGCTACTTCTACTACCACGACGACGACGACAACGACGACGACTACTACTACTACTACGACTACTACTACTACTACTCCTACTACTACTACTACTACTACTACAACTACTACTACGACTACGACTACGACTACGACTACGACTACTACTAGTACTAGTACTTCTACCATTACTTCTACTACTACTTCTTCTACCACTACTACTACTACGACTTCTACTTCTACGACTACTACTACTACTACTACTACTACTACTACGACTACTACTACTACTACTACTACTACTACTACTACTACTACGACTAATACTACTACGACTACTACTACCACTACTCGGAATGGTACTACTACTACGAATACTACGACCACTACTACTACTACTACTATACTACTACTACTACTAATACTACGACCACTACTACTACTACTACTACTACTACTACTACTACTACTACTACTACTACTACTACTACTACTACTACTACTACTACTACTACTACTACTACTACTACTACTATACTACTACTACTACTACTACTACTACTACTACTACTACTACTACTACTACTACTACTACTACTACTACTACTACTACTACTACTACTACTACTACTACTACTACTACTACTACTACTACTACTACGACTACTACTACTACTACACAACTACTACGACGACTACTACGACTACGACTACGACTACTATTTTTACGACTACGACTACCACTACTACTACTACTACTACTACTACTACTACTACTACTACTACTACAACTACTACTACTACGACTACTACTACTACTACTGCTACTACTACGACTACTACTACTACTACTACTACTACTACTACTACTACTACTACTACTACTACTACTACTACTACTACTACTACTACTACTACTACGACTACTACGACTACAACTACGCTACGACTACGACTACGACTACTAGTACTACTCGTGGTCTGCGATCGGCCTGATCGCAACCACTGTTTTGGAATCTTACCGGTGAGCCTAAGGCAACCTACTCATTCCAGAAGCTCCCTTGGAGAGCCTCAGCTTACCAAAACGACGTGGAAGCGAACGCGAAACATCCCGACCACATCGGGCCGATCGCAGCCGGTTGGAATCCGCCCCAAGTGACTGCGATCGGCCCCAAGCGGTTGCGATCGGCCCCGGTCGCCCCCATCGTAGCGCACTCCCGGCGCCGTGCGAGAGCCCGAGGCGCGCTCCCGCGACGCCTCTCCTGGAGAAGAGCGCCTCTCCAGCCCAGACCGCGAGGCGCGAAGTGCGGTGATCTTCGCGCCTGCGTACATGTCCTGGCCAGTTGCCCTTCCTGGGCTAGCCTCGGCGGCGAGCCTGGGGCAAGTGAGAAGGGGCGGGCCTTCTCAGAAGGCTCGGAAATCCCCTGGCCTTCTGAGAAGTTTTCTGAGCCTTCCCCGAAGATGCCGAAAGCTTCTCAGAAGTCTGAGAAGCCCCGCCGCCTTCTGAGAAGGCCTTCTCCTTCTCACTTCCCCCCTCGCTTGCCGCCAGTAGCCGTCCGTCTGGCCTTCTTGGCCGTCCCCTTCTCCTCCTCGTCCTTCACCTGGAACCCATCGAAGAGGTCGCCTACGTTTCGATCGTTCTGCACCTCCTGCAGCTTGCGCTGTCGCAGCCTCTGCTCCTGCGGGCAGGAGAGGGGCGAGGAGGACGGAGGAGGAGAAGGAGAAAAGCAACACAAGATGGCGAAGAAGGAGGAGGACAATGAAGTGAGATGGAAGAGGAGGACGTTGAAGACAAGGAGAAGCAGGAGAAGCAAGAGGAGAGGGGGGTGAGAGGAGGAAGGGGGAGAAAGAGGAGGAGGAAGTGGAGGATAAGGAGGAGGAGGAGGAGAAGCAAGAGGCGGAGAGGAGAAGGACGAGCAGCGAGAGAGAGGAGAAGCAGGACGAGGAGCGGGAGGGAGGGATGATGAGGACGACGAAGACGAGGAGGAGGACGAGGGCGGAGGAAAAGGACGAGGAAGAGAAGGAAGCAGGGAGGAGCGTCGAGGGGCAAGAAAAGAAAAGAGGAGAAGGAGAAGGAGGAGGAACAAGAGAAGGAGGAGGCGAAAGAGGGATCGGGAAAGGAGAAAGAGGAAAAGGAAGAGGAGGAGAAGGACGAGGAGGAGGGGGTGGAGAGGAGGAGAATGACGACGACGACGACGACAACGACGACGAGCATCGAAAGCTGCTGGCCCTGGCCTTCTTTCTCGACGAGGGCCCCTGGAACTCTCGTCTCCTTCCTTGGGCCCAATTTTGCATCCTGCGCATTTGTTGTGCGATACTGGGGTCCGAGACAGACCCCCAGAGGCTCAAAACTCACAAAAAAACACAAGGTCCAGGTGTGGGGACAACGACGACGACGACGACGACGACGACGACGACAACAACGGTCGTGGAATGTTTCTGGAAGCCTCTTGGGGGCAAAAAGACCCGAAGACGTTCAAAATCTGGTCCAGAGCCTTGCGGTTGAGCTCCGACGTCGTGAGTCATCTGACCACGCGGGCCCCAGAACTGTCGGCCCCGTCCACGGACCGACGTTTCATCCCTGATCGTTTTGCACGCGCCTGGAGCCCGAAGTGCGGAAAGGCACCTGCAAGCCGAAATCACGAAGCAAAACCTCCGTGTCGGGGATGGACAGACCTCCCTTTAATAAACCGTGGTTTAGTGAAAACGAGCTCGGGCCCAAACCTGGCGGGCGCAAGCCTGGAAAATGACGGCCGCGGCGCCCTCTCGAGAACCGAAAACGGACAATTCACTAATCGACGTGTCACTGTTGGGGGTTCTGTCCACCCCCGACCTTGCTGACGTAGGTCTAGATGTTGGCCGTCGGGGACTGGGGCTCCTGCAATCAGCGAACGCCGCCCGCGAGCAGGACGAGGGCGAGGCGGAGGAGGAGGAGGGGCGAGCGTTGCCAGTGAGGAGGAGGAGGGATAGGAGGAAGAGGGGCAAATGTCGCCAGCGAGGAGGAGGAGGACGAGGAGGAGGAGGAGGAGGAGGAAGAGGAGGACGAGGAAGAGGAGGAGGAAGAGGAGGAAGAGGAGGACGAGGAGGAGGAGGAGGAGGAGGTGGAGACGAAGGAAGTGAGGGAGGGAGGATCACCAGGAGGGGGCACTCCTGGGCGGTCAGCGCGGGCTCCGGCTCGGCCGCCTTCTCCTTCGCCTTCGGTTTCGCCTTGGCGGCGCTGGCCGGCGAGGAGACCGCCGCCGCGGGTGGCGGACCCTCCTCGTCCTCCTCGGAGTCGTCGACCCTGTTGGCGGCCTCCTGTTGGCGGCGCGCACATGTGGGGGGGCCAGACCCTCTGGATCCTCCTCCTCGTCCTCCTCCTCCTCCTCCTCCTCCTCCTCCTCCTCCTCTTCCTTGGCCTCGTCCTCCTCCTCCTCCTCCTCCTCCTCCTCCTCCTCCTCCTCCTCCTCCTCCTCCTCCTCCCCCTTCTCCTTGCCCTCCTCGGCCTCCTCGTCCTCCTCCTCGTCCTCCTCCTGCTACATTTCATCAGTAGCAGCAAAAGCAGCAGCAACATCATCATCATCATCATCATCATCATCATCATCATCATCATCATCATCATCATCATCATCATCATCATCATCATCATCCACAGCATCATCATCAACAGAAGCATCACCATCAACAGCACCATCATCATCATCATCATCATCGGCAGCAGTGTCATCATTGTCAACATCATGAGCAGAAGCATCAGCCACATCATCATCAGCATCAGCATCATCATCAGCAACAACATCAGCATCGTCATCAGCATGACCAGCATCATCATCATCATCATCATCATCATCATCATCATCATCATCATCATCATCATCATCATCATCTCATCAACGGTTGCATCAACAACAATAGCATCAACATCGTCATCACCATCTTCATCTTCATCATCAGCATCAGCATCATCATCATCAGTATCATCAGCATCATCATCATCATCAGCAGCATCATCATAATCGTTATCATCAACATCAGCATCAGCATCATAATAATCATCACCAGTGTCAACATCATAACCATCGTCAGCATCCTCATCAGCAGCAGCATTAGCAGCAGCATCAACATCATCAGCGTCAGCAGCATCACCATCATCAACAACAGCATTATCAGCTTCGCCATGAATATAATGAGCATCAGCATCACCATCAACGTCAACATCATCATCACCATCATCAGCAGCATCATCAGCATCATCAGCACCATCCGCATCATCATTATCCTCACCATCATGAGCAGCAGCAGCATCAGCAACATCATCAGCGACATCAATCTCTGTTCTTTATGAATCACGATTGCCTCTCGCACCTAGAGACGTGTTGGTAGGGCGGGAGGGGCGTTTCGCCTGAGACCTCCTCACCGCTTATGACCCTGAAGCTTGAAACGTGCAACAAGGATGGAGAGCGGCTGGTTCTGAAAATGTGACTCTCACCTGAGCGCCGCGTGCATTCAGCGTGAAACGGTTGCAACAGCTTCGAGGATGGAGGGCGGGCGGTGTTCAAAATGTGGCTCTCACCTTAGCGCGGCGCACAGTTGTTCAAAAGTCAGCATCAAGCTCAAAGAGTAACGGCGGTTTCGAGGCGTTTGCCGTGGCGCCGCGCGCATTCGTCTTAAACAATTACAACAGTTGCAAAAGCTCGTATGGATAAAGTTCCAAGGATTCTGTTCTGGTGCGGCTTCGGATTGCCAGGACGCAACAGTCACGTTGATTCGCGGTGCTGAAGCTCCAGGAACTGTTGACTGGCACGATTCAGGATTGTCTTCCCATGGGGCATTTCCCAATGAAACCAGACTCTTGTAGAGGGAACTTGGAGGGACGATGTGCTGCCACATCGTGGATGCGTCTTGGGTTTAAACGGCTCACCCCCCTCCTCCTCCTCCTCCTCCTCCTCCTCCTCCTCCTCCTCCTCCCCCTCCTCCTCCTCCTCCTCCTCCTCCTCCTCCTCCTCCTCCTCCTCCTCCCTCCTCCTCCTCCCTCCTCCTCCTCCCTCCTCCTCCTCCTCCTCCTCCTCCTCCTCCTCCTCCTCCTCGCCACCATGCCGACGGGGGGCCGCAGCCCTGCCGGAGAAACCGCGGCAGACGCCCGGCGCGCCTGCAAACAAAGGGGGGGCCCTCGACGCCGCCCCGCGGCGAGCACCACCGGCGGGCACCCCTCGGGGCTGGACTCTCCCCCGGGCGACACGGGGGGCGCAGTGCGGGCTCGAGTCGGCCTGCCTCTGCCATGCTTTGGCGCCCGGCCCTGCCTGGCACTCCCGCGAGGCCCCCCGGTGGGGGTCCTCGGCTCCTCGGACTTCTGCCGCGCGGAAGGCGGACCTGCCGATCCAGGCAGGTCCTCCTTCCCAGGCGGCCCCGCGTCATCCCTCAGCCCCCGTCTCCTAGGGTCAGCCAGGCAGCCCAACTAGGACAAGGCGGCACCTCTGCCCAGGTCCTTGCAGAGCCACGGACCACGGACCACTGCGCAGCGCGCTCGCTGTAGCCCCTTTGTCCGATGGCTCGACTGGATTTGCTCTTCAGCCAGACTAGGACTGGGAGAATGCTACACCCACAGCCTTTATGGGCTGGCACTGCGGGCCACTGCACAGCACGCTCGCGGCAGGTCCTGATCCGCTGTTTCGTTTGGATCGGGCCGCCCGTCTGACTAGAAAGAGGTGGCAACTACACCCGCAGCTTGGTAGAGTCAGGGGCTCCGGGCCGCTGCGCGCCAGGTTCGCGGCAGCCACTGGCCCGCTGAGTCGGTTGGATCAGCGAGACAAGCAGCCCTGAGGTAGTCTCTACCAGCTCGACGGGATACAGCCAGACCTCGGACATAAGACCATCCCTCAAGAACATGAGACCCTCTGCCAGTCAAACTGAACATTCGAGGGCACCCTCCCCCCAGGGTGCACAAGAACATCCAACAAACAAGAACATTAGGGCACTCTCCCCGAGCTGAGCTCGATCTTATGCCTCGGTCCGACTGTACTGTAGTACCTACCAGGTCGACGGGACATTCTTTGTAGTTGGAGCTGGGAGTAGAATGGGCCTAGGCAGTCCAGTCTACTCCCTCTCCCTCGCAGCCCGCGCAGGGCCGTTGCCGCTGGGGCGACACAAGGCCTCCAGTCTCTGGTCTCTTGCCCCCCCTCTCTTCGCAGCCCCCGAGTCGGGTAGTCCCGTCGGGCAATCACGCCGAGCAAGGGGCGTGCCCCCAAGAACCATGCCCTTCCAAGCTCGAAGGGTATGCAAAAACGGCGAGCCGCCCGCTCGTAGACATGGAGGCTTAGTCAATGCTCCTCCTCCCCCTCCTCCTCCTCCTCGTCTAGATGGGCTCTTGTAGTCATCGATCCTGCCACGGGTGAAGCCATAGCCGTGCTAGCGGGCCCTGTCAGCAGAGCCCTGCCTCAGACCTCACCCGCAGCAGAGTTGTAGCAGCGCGTGCTGCGGTGAAGTTCGGATGCAATATCACAGCCTTGATTGCAGACTAAACTGGCACATGCAAACTGCAGGCTCCAGGCTTGGCTCCCAGAGGTTGTCATTCGGGACTGAAATGTTTGATCAAACGATGTGCTCGCTGGAGTCGGGACATTGACCTGATCAAAGCAACATCGTAGCAAACGCTCTCCGAAGTAGCGCCCCACACAGAAGAATGTCGGCATGCCTCGGGCGATGCCGAGGCTGATCGGTAGGCGAAGTGGGCGGCCAATGAGTTGTCGCAGCCTGCCCCTGCTGAACAGGAACAGTCAGAATCGCGCATCAAGTTGGCCCAGCACTTTCTTCACTATGGTTGTCAGATCTTGCCGCAGTGGCCTCCTGTTGCCTCCGTGCCCGGGGGCAAAGCACCGGCCAAGCCTAACAAGGCGAAGAAGCCCCCAGTCGGGGGCTGCGTCCGTCCAGGGCTCCAATACTGCGGCTCCCCCTCCCAGACCCCCAGTAGTGCCAGGGGGCCGTCTGGTGCACGATCGGACTTGGAGCCTGGGAGGATGGGCTCGCAAGCTGTGCTGGGCGAGGGCCCCCCCTTTCGGAGGCGAGGAGAGAAGCCCGGCTCCACGAGAAGGGCACTGACGGATCCCCCTCTCGAGGCCCTCGCTGCTGACACTCGCGGCCACACGCTGGCAGTCGCCGATGACGAGGCGGGCGAGAGTTTCCTCATTGCTTGTCAGACGTGTGGCTCGTACGCGGGTCCTAGTCCACGTCGCCTCTGCGGTGACTGTCTGAACCCGCTCACGGACGAGAGGATGCGTGGATCCAAGCATGCATGGGATCAGATGTGTCAGCGCAGGCACCCCAGGACGCCCGGGGTGAAGCTGCACCCCCAAAACGCCCCCCTGGCCCAGCTCCTGGCAGCTTCGGCCCGGGAGCCGCAGGAGCAGGAGCGGGAGGGGGGCAGACAGGGCGGGAGCGGGGAGCGCGCGCTGGAAGGGAAGGAGAGACGGCACCCGTGCCGCCGCGTGCGCGCGGGCGCCCCTGGAAAAAACAGGCGGGGGGCAGCAGCCCGCCCGTCTCCCCTGCTCGCCCGCACGGGCCGAGGGGAGAGAGAGCACTGCCCCCCCGTCGCCACGCCGCGTCCCCCCCCCCCTGCGGTGGCCTGCCCAGTGCCCCGCCAGGGCTCGGGCGGGGGACGCGGGCCGCCCGCGGGAGGCTCCTCGGGGGAACCTCGCCCTGCCCTCCCGCGGCCAGGGTGCCCCGCCCCGGATGTGCGCGGGGGGGTCGGCTGCGGCTGGCCTCTGGGGCGGCACACGGGAGGTGTCGTTATGCGAGTCCGGCGGGGCGGGCGCGGCTCGAAAAGCGGTAGGGCGGCGGCCAAGTTTTGCTTGTCTCCAGGACTCTGGCCTGAGCTGCCCCGGCCACTTGTTGAACTGTGTGTGTCTCGGCTCTTTCTTGGTTGGCCACGGCTACGATCGTCCATGTGCCTTCTTTTGTATGCAGGTTTGCCTTTGTCTCTGCACCCTCTTGGTCGGCCGCGGCGACGGTCGTTCATGTACCTGGAGAGGTGCAAGCCAGGAATGATGCCGCCAGTGTTACACTCTTGTACGTTTGTGGTGCAAGCCAGGAACGATGCTGTCGCAGTGGCAGGCCAGGTGCCGCTGCACTGGGCCAGTGCCCGCGACAGCGTTGCGCACGGCGTGGCCCTGCTTCTCAGTACCCGTGGGCACCCGTCAGGGGGGAGAGAGAGAGAGAGAGAGAGAGAGAGAAACAAAAAAAAACAAAAAGAGAGAGAGAAAGAGAGAGAGAGAGAGAGAGACCACCTCCGCGCGCGGCCCACGCTCGCCAACCTGGTCTTCTAC